CAAGTGTCCCCCAATGGAGCTTGCGACACCAGTGTTGACAGCGGAATGGATGATGATACACAACGTCTGGTCGAAAGTGGGCAGCGCATTGTTGGGGCAATATTCCCTGGACACAGTCCAGGATACGGAACAGCTGTACAAGGAAGGCCTTTTATCTGCCTCCCGACATTTACGGCGACGGTTTGTCGACCCCAAGCTATGCTCCGAATCTTGATCGTGCAAGGATCAAACTTCCAGTGCGCCCACCTGGTCTGGCCAGGACATCCGACACGACGGGACACTTCGGCCACATCATCGAGGACCATCTTGTCACCGAAATGCGGGCATTCCCCGATCTCCACCAAACCAGACGCTTTCGCCGCAAGCTCAGCACGTGGCAGACCACACGCGGAGGGTTTGGAGGAATCGGCTCGAGCCCCAAGAGGGGGCAACGCCATCTGACCACCGTGACGGCTGGAATACCCTCCCAGAGTATGGCGAACAGCACTGGCAGCCATATGAGGAGGGATCTGTGCTCCCAGGAGAAGAGCCGATCGTGGAAGACCCTGGTATCACTCCAGGATCAGCCATGGACCCGCTCGAGTTGGCACAGGCGAAATACAGTGCGTTTTGTGGTGGTCGGTTGGTTTTCGCGCTTATGTCTGAAAGTGGATGGCTTAGCATGATACAGGAGGACTTGGGCATGCTCCTCCACCATGCCTTCGGTCCTTCGGGACACGCGTACAAATGGACAAATGTGCACACAGACTCCACGTGGATCATGCACAAGAAAGGCCCCAAAGCCAACCCACACAAGAAGTATCCAGGGCACGGCATCGACGAGCTCAACAGCCCACAGCAGCGATATGCACTTGCCAAGGCATCCAACGTTGGTTTTGTGCCGCTCTTCATGCCATGCCTCAATAAAGCAGGGTATATGGGCGGCGCCACCCTCGAGCATCTGTCAATATTTGTCCGTGGCGACATCATGATGTGGGCGTTCTCGTACGGGAATTACAACGAATTCTTCAAACAGAACGACACTCCGATTGGTCAGGATTGTATTTTATTGCCAGAGGCTGGTGGCGACACCCGCTGCGATATGGCCAATCTCCGTGTACGTGAAACAGCGACACTGCAGCAGGGGTCTCAATGCCGTCGTGGTCTGGAGTGCAAACGACATTGCTTGCGCCAATCATGGTCAGCACTGGTTGGATACACAACGCCACCAGGATCGTGCACCCACGAACGTACGTGAGCTCATCAAGATGGAGGCCGCTGCACGTGAAGGTGGACGTACCACGTCTCATTGACGTGCTGCAATACTGCCGTTGTCCCACCGTCATGGGGCCTGGCAAAGCCGCGCAAGTGGGCGTACATCCTACCTTTGACCTCCACACTAGCGACCTGACCAAAGCTATGAAATGTCGTGGTATTGTAGTACTTCCTTCCGACCACTGGATCGAGTCGTACGACAGGGCCACGCCTGGTCTGGCATGCAAAGCAGAACAACCACAATCTGGCATTGATGACGACTCAGTTTTGTGATGCGGTATGCTATCGCAATTTCTGTGCGTTGATCCAGTCATTACCATCACAGCCGTATCCATTTCGACCTCCACTCCTGACAGCCGTCACAGAAACGCAAGCCTTCACACAGGCTAAGGAGATCATGGATGCTCTTCACTTCCGCGAGAAAATGACTACCGAGTGGAAGAGGCATCTCAGCCTCACGACGCTGATGAAATAGACTGCAGCGGAAATGGCTCATTGTGCTTGGATGGCTTCCTGCGCCAGTGGCACGCTACCGCAATCCATGCCGCTGGCAACAAGCGATCCATATATGCCTATCCCTGGAATCACAAACGAGCCACCACCGGCGAATCCAGCGCAATCCAATCAAGATGATGATCCATATTGTGGGGCATACGAGGAGCTGTACCACCAGCTTCTCCTCCTGATCGAGGACTACCCGGGCGTGTGGGCATCCTACGACTCGAGCGAGAAAAAGGAGCTCCTTCACCCTACAATAGTGAAAGAAGCCAAGGATGCGCATGCTCTCACATGGGTTGTATACGAGCAGTTCTTAATCCAGATCAATGATATTGCTGGGGCCAGCGATGCAAATAATTCACGTATCATTGCAGGGCGCAACGCACTGAACTCTCATCGCGTCGGCCCTCGCATTGACAACGCAGATACCAGCATAGCATGCAAAGGTTTCTATACCCAGAATGCCTTGGATCACATCGCCTTGGGGCTCCCGGCTGATGTGCCGCAGCCGGCCGCCAGGCCCGCTGCAGCGCCACCCGCTGCAGACTCTGCGACATCTGCGGCGCAACCGCTCAGCGAGGACAGACAGCCCCTGCCACCAGGCCCGCTCCCGACCGCCACGCCAGCTGCGCCCGCAGACATGGGTTCGCATCTTGCCTCGGACGGGGACGCCGACATGGCTGCAGAGCTGGATGTAATTCCTGCTGACAATGCGCCAACGCCTGGTCAGCAAATGGAAACTATGCATATACTATCGTGGCAGGACTGCTGCGAGCGAGCTTACCATGAGGACACAAGCCAGATACCTACATTCAACAATGCATTCACTCCTCGTGAGTACAAGCCCCAGGCTGGCCTTACGGACGATCATCCATACGTACCGCCTCCGTTGAGGGGCACCTCCGCACAAAATGGCATGGACTGCATTATGAACGACGACTGGGCATCTCAATCGGCTTACGACGACTGCGCGATTGCCCACGCTGCGACATGCGGGCCAAGGGCACGGCGGCATCGGACACCGACTCAGGTGAGGAGCCGTCTTCCACGGAGCTGACGCGGACCATCTTGACGGGACAAGAGCAGATGGCACAGCTGGCCGACCAGATCCGAGAGTTGAAGGCTACTCCTCCTGCCGGCACTCCTGGCGGCGTAAGCTTCGAGACGGACGACAGCGCCACGACTCCACGGTCCTCGAGATCGAGTCGTTCGGACACGGCAGGCTCGAGGCGCGAGGAGGAGCTCATCGAGCCGTCGCGTGGTCAGATCGATAACCTATTGCGGACGCTCCGAGAGCACGAGATGATAGTCGGGATGGACAGCTCACGGGCTACGCGAGGGAGTGGGTCTTCAGCCCCTTCGCCGCTCCCTTTCTCGGGCGGCGGCTTTGAGCTGGTGGGTGATCGGTCTTCGAGCGCTACGTCGGAGGCCTCATCGCGCACCCCACTGAAGATTTGCATCGATGAGCTGGAGATGGAGTCCAGGAGCCCACGCGAGACGATGATCCAGGCGCTGAAGGGCCTCAACGATAAGGTGGACCTCGGGCGCGTGGGGGAGATCCGCACTCGCGTCGCTCCTGAGGTCTTGACGCGCCTCTACAGGAGTGGCCGCGCGGCGCAGGCGGAGTTGCGCGAGTGGCTGCGCAGCAAGGAGCTCGAGAGTTGCAACGCGGCGGCGGAGGTCACGGTCATGGGCATGGTCCTCGACCGTATGCTCAAGACGGACCCGCCGGGCACGGTGATCAACTCACGAGCGGCGGAGTTGATCTGCCTCCGCATCTACAGCCCGATGAAAACGTTCGAAAAGGTGCAGGGGCGCGAGGACTGGCTGCGCCCGAAGAATCAGACGGGGGCCAAGTGGCGGAGCAAGGTCAACTGGGCGCTGGCTGGGCAGCACTTCCGCCTCGACCGCTCCGAGAACGATATAGAACGCGGCGGACGACGAGGTGACCGAGAAGCTCAAAAGGAAGGCGCTCTTCCAGAAGCACTTGGGGTCAGTCTCGGAGTCTGCCGCGAAGGACGAGTGAGGGTCTAGCCGCCCCTTGGCGGGGGGGGCGGTTCAAAGCCGACAAACCGCCCGTGCATCGGTCGAGGCCCTCTCTCGTCAGGGCTCTCTTCGCGGCGCTCTTCTTGGGCGCGCTCGTCCTCAACTTTTCTACCTGGAGCAGTTAGTGTTCTACTTCGTCGTCTGCGGGTGGCAGCTCCACACGTGCCCTCGGTCTCAGGCTCAGCGTTGCCCGCCCCTTCGAGCGACCGCGAGCGGGAGTCGGTGCTCAACTTTTCCTAGTTTGCCGCCGGGAAGGCTTTTGTGCACGCGCCCTCTCGGCCAGGTCGCGCACCAGTTCGTCGTTTAGATGTCAGGTGGGAACCAGATCAGGGAGCCCCCCGGGCTTGTTTCGGGACGACCTCGGCATCATCGAGATCTGCTTGGAACGTCGCCGCATGCGCCGGCGAGTTGGGGAGGAACTATCGGCGGGGAGATGAGCGAGAGCGAGCTGCGGGTCACGTGGCCGAGGTCGTGTCGGACCGCCGCTGCTCTCCGGAGTCTCAGCTGAGGCCACCTCAGGGAGCTGAAGGACTGGACCAAGGTGGCGGCGGAGTGCCCCTGGAGCTAGGCCTCGTTTTTGCAGAAGGAGTTCTTCAGGGGGATTTGGAACGAGCAGAGTCGGAGAGCGACCTGAGGATCCATCGACGACGGCAGAGCGGTTTTGCGCCGCTTTGGCGAGAAGCTTCCAAGTGGCTATGGGAGCGGCTCTGCCTCGGAGAGGAAAGGGGAGGAGCGGCTGAAGAGGGGTGCCCTGTGCCCGCTGCTAGTCAAGGAGGTCGATCCGCCTCCGAAGGGGCTCCGAGGGGCCAGCGCGAAGAAGCTGGCCGTTACGGCGAAGGCCTACCTCGAAGAGCCTGGGAGGTTGATGCTGAAGTCGGAGGGCGAGATCGACATGCAAGCCTACAACATAATCAAACCGCACGAGGCGCCGGAGCTCAAGCACGGGCAGACCAGGCTGGAGCTCGCGCTGAAGATGTGGGGGTCGAACATGTTCACCTGCGTGGACGACGCGCGCGAGAAGCCGTCAGTCTTCACCGCGGTCAAGAAGGTGTCGCAGGAGAAAGCGAAGCGGGAAGTGGTGTCTCGGTTGGTGTGGGGTGCCCGCCGAGTCAATTTGCACTTCAAGGACCCGCCCTGGGTCCGTTGGGCTCGCCTGCGGCGCTCGCAGAGATCGATCCGGGCCCGACATCCCGGTGGACCAGCAGTTCCTGACATTCCAAGGGGACGTGCCAGTGATTTTCTACAGGCTGCAGAATATTCCCGAGCTGTACTCCTACTTTGTCTTGGATGGGGTGGATCCGTGCTCGCTCTGGGAGTTCGCACAGCAGCGAACTGCATCGCTGCCGCGGCCGCCAGAGGGGGCCGTCGGAGTCGCCTGCGCGGTCGCCCCCATGGGCTGGAGTTGGGCGGTCTTCCTCGCGCGCACCGCGCTGATGGACTGCCTCGACGACCTGGAGTCCGAGGGGGCGGGGCGCGTGGAGCGCGGCAGCCCAGTCCCGAGCTTCGCCGAGCACCAGCTCTTGTACTGGCTCTACATCGACAACTATGGCGGAGGCCTGATCGGCGAAGGGTCGGACGACCCGAGGCTCGGCGAAGTGGCAGGTCAGGCGAGGAGCGCGGTGGCAGCGCGCGGTCTGGCAGTGCGCATGGAGAGCCAGGGAGTCGGTCTTCCCGAACAGCTAGGCGTCACCATCGACCCGGTCTCCTTGATGTGTCGCGTGAAGGACGAGAAGCTGAAGGACCTAGTGCTCGCTGCCGAGGCCCTCACCTTGGAGGAGGCGGCCTCGCCCGCGCTGGTCGAGGTCGTTACGGGGCACTGGGCGTGGGTCATGATGCTCGCGAGCGCGGCCTTCGCCATCCCGCGCGTCGTCCACGCGTGGATCCACGCTGCCGAGGACCGTCTTCGTCCGCGGCGACTGTGGACGGACGTGATCGCCGAGCTGCACGCCCTGGCCGCGCTCTCCGTGTTCTTCTTCTCGGACTTGTCGCTGGGCTGGCACTCGCAGGCGTGCGTGACGCACGCCAGCAACTACGGCTACGCGGTGATGTCGACGGCGGCTGCGCCCGATACGCTTAGATCCGAGGCCAAGTGGGCACGACAGCAGGGCTGGGGCGTGCAGGTGGACACGGCGCACTCGGAGCAGGAATGGCAGGAGCGTTCGAAGGGCGACCTGTTTCAGGAGGACGCGGGCGCGGCGACTGGCTTCAGAGCAACGGGTCGTCCCGGCATGGCGGACCTTTTCGCTGGGACGGGCACCCTGGCCGAGTGCTTCCGCGCGGGGGTTCCTACCTGGGCCGAGGCGTGGGAGATCGACAACGGGCCCCAGTGCGACCTGCTACACCAGCCCACCATCGCGAGGCTGATGCTGAGGATCAGGCAGGGCGAGTTCTGGTGGATCCACGCAGGTCCGCCGTGCTCCACCTTCTCGCGAGCCAGGATCCAGAAGCTTCGGGCGCCTTGCTACTTGTGGGGGGTCCCGGGTCTCGGGAGGGCGGACCGCAGGAAAGTGAAGGACGGTTCGCTGATGGCGCTGGTCGCGATCGAGGCGTGCTTGCTCGCGCTGACGCTGGGAGTGTTCTTCGCGCTGGAGAACCCGATCGACAGCCTCATCTGGCTCCTGCCCGAGATGCAGGCGCTGGCCGGCAGGGACGGCGTCTACACGCTGGAGGTCGACTATTGCCAGTTCGGCACGTCCTGGAAGAAGCCCACGAAGATTCTGACGTCGTGTCGGGAGCTGCTGAGGGTCGCGAGGAGGTGCGCGGGCACGTCATCGTGCTGTTCTGCGACGGGGCTACCGCACCAGATCCTGAGAGGCGATGCGCCATGCGGAACGAAGTGGACGAAGCTGGCCTGCCCGTGCCCGCAGGCCCTCTGCGAGGCCATCGTGGAGGTGGCCCGAGCCGCCGCGCCGCCTGGAGCCCTTCGACCCCTGCCTCAGCACTTGAGGCGAGCGGCGAAGCAGCCCGCGCCGCCCTTGGAGGCGGAGTGGTTCGACCCCGATCGTTGGGCCACCGCTTTCGCAGGCCAGTGGGAGCGGGCCGAGCACAACAACGTGCTGGTGGGCAGGGGCGTGCTGGCGGTGCTGCGCCACCTGGCCCGGAGCAGTCGCTCGTGGGCTCGCCGCGCCCTGGTCTTCACGAACTCGCTGGTGGTGGTCGGCGCCCTTGGCAAGGGCAGGGCGTCTTCGCACCAGCTGCTGCGACTATGCAGGATGGCGGCCGCAGTCCAGCTCGCCTGCGGGATCAGGTTGCACCTGCGCTGGGCCCCCTCCGAGTCGAACGTGGCGGACGGGCCGTCTCGCGAAGGATCCAAGGGCGCCGCGGCCGACACCGTGCAGGGCCACCTCACTCGGGGGCTGCCCAAGTCCCTGAGGGCGACCTTCAGGCGGCTGAGGGGCCAGGGCGGCGAGCACGATGCCATCCACTGGTGATCCTCGTCGCGATCGTGGCGCAGCTCGCCGGCGGTGCCGAGGCTGTGCGAGCCGTCGAGGAAAGGCCTGGCGCGAGCTCGACCAGGTCGAGGGGCGGGACCCCGCCTCCGTCGGCAGGAGGGGGGGCCCGAGCGTGGGACCACGCCGCCTGTAGTCGGTCGCAGCTGGCCAACCGCCTGTGCGTCCACGCGGTCGACGACAACACCAACAGGCGGTACGTCAAGGAGGTTCGGAACTTTTTGTAGGACGTGGAGCGAGAGCAGGTGCCCTTCGACACGTACGCCGAGCGGGACACGGCCATGGCCAACTACTTGTCCTCGGTGTGCTACCTTCCGGTCCAGCGTCGGCGTGGGCAACGCCGTCTTCTCCGGGTTCCTGCGCGTCTACGAGGATCACCGCGACAAGATGCCGCAGACGGCGCGGGCCTTCAAGTCGTGGCTGACAATGGCTGCGCAGGGCGAGGGCAAGCCTCTGGCTCGGACTACGATCGGCTGCATAGCACTTTGGATGATCCGACACGGGAAGCTGTACGAGTCCATCTTAGTGCTGCTGTCTTTCGACTGCTGCCTGAGGGAGCAGGACTGGGGCCTCCTGCGGACAGAGGACATTCATTTTGATGGAGTGGGCGCGAGTCTGGCCCTTGGCGCTCGGGCTCGTGGCGAGACGGTCAAGTCGGGCAGCGACCAGGGCGTGGTCCTGAGGTTCGGCTTCGTGATGGCCCTCCTGCAGGCCGCGGTAGACGTCGCGGCGGACGGGGACCTGGTGTTCCCCCTCACGCCGGCCACCTTCCGCAAGAGGTGGTGGGAGGCCCTGGCGGCGCCGGGCCTTGAGTGGCATGGGCCTCCGCACGGGCTTCGCCCATCGGGCGCGTCGAACTACGTGGAGAGCGGGTTCACGCTCGAGGCCACCCGCCGTCGCGGGCGCTGGAGGTCCGCGGCGGCCGTGCAGCGATACACAAAGCTGCGCGACCTCGTTCGGCATCGAGCGAAGGCAGGCGAGGACGTCGCCAAGCGTGGCAAGGAGTTCTGGGAGGATCCGGTCGGGTGCCTCATGGACGCTCTCGAGAAGGCGCCGCGGGACAGCGACGGGTCCCTGAAGTCCGCCATGGTGCTGCAGCTCAAGAAGGTGATTGATCGTCCTGACGCCCGTCCTGTGACTGGCCCACCGTCCTGCACGCCAGCTGTGCAGGAAGAGCCTCGGAGATCAGATCCGAGTGCCCGAGCCAAGCGCCAGAAGCGCAGACAGAGAGGAAGTTGATGCGGCTGACGCCAGACCCGGGAAATGCGTTTTCTCCAGGGCTGGTGATTTTCTGTGCAGGGCCTTGGATTCAGGTGCCCGTGTCGATTGCCGCCTTGCTGCATCCAGACACGTGCATACAGCTCTTTTCGGGCCTGTCGGCCCCTCGTCAGCGACCGAAAATGTGATGTTTGCACGTTGTCTCATAGAGGCTTCGCCTCCTTTGTAGCATGGCTGGTATATACATGAGGCTCTTAGGGACAGCGTATGTGGCTAGGCATCATTCTATGTAGGGAGCTCTAGAGGATAAAGTAAGCTGGCCCCCTTCCCCCTTTAGAGCCCTAGAATGGATGACTTAGCCAACAAAAACACGCACGAAATCGAGCAAATCACGAGGAATGGACGTCCGAGCGATGGCGAGCACGCGCAGCGACGGCGACAAGTTCGACAGCGACGAGCGGAGCGCCACGGCGCCGCCGCCGCCGCGGCGGCCCCGCGCCGCCGAGGCCCGGGCCGAGGGCCGCGCCGCCGCCCAGGACGAGCGGGGCGCCCGGCACCTGGAGGCGGCGCGGCGGCGGCGCCGCGGCCTGGAGCGCAGGCGCCTCCGGCTGGCCTTGCTCGGAGACTGGAACATTCGGGCCGGACGAAAGGGGGGGATTGGGAAATGGGGGGTTACGAAATTTGCTGCATGCAGCTGGTTTCGGCCTCACCGAGGGGCCCACGCCTCGATACTGTCCCCGCGACACCTCAAAGCGAAACTATCAACTTTTTCCGAGTGGTTCGCTTTCGATTTCGCTTTCTTAACTATTAACTTTTTCGGGGGAGCTTCGCTTTCGCTTTCGCTTTCCTAACAATTAACTATTATTTTCTGCGTTTCGCTTAGTCATTCCCGCCGTCGCCTCCGGCGCCGGGAGGCGCCGGGAAAATCAGCTACGTGAGCTGATTCTCAAACCCCCCCTTTGCTATCCCCCCCTTTCGCCCGACCCGAAACATATACATTCCCAGCGGCGGGCTGTTCTTCAACCCCAGGACTTTTTGGAGGGTGGTGTATGCTCTTTTTCTTGTTTCCCAGGGAGTCGACGGCACATCTATACACCAGGGTCCCGTATACACCAGGATCCGCGTCCATGTGCAAATTTCAGTACAGGACCGGAAAACGCGTCGGTGTATAGAGTTCGGTTCCCTACTTGCGGCGGCCCCTCGCATTGTGAACAAATCGCGGCGAGAGGTCTTTCGTTGCTTTCGGCCTCCAGGGGTCCTTACCGTCGGCCCGGATTAGTAGGTCGCCCCTACCAGGTCAAGAGTACCCATTTTTCTTGCATCTCGCGACCCATGCCTCCAACATCCCTACGGCAATATGGCCCTTGGAAGGGTCTTGTGTCCTCTCGCGCGTCCTGTCCAATCAAGTCCGGCTGTACCGGGCCTCGGGACCGTCGAAAAAGGATTCGGGATGGAACACCGGTCCAGGGGAAGGGGTCCGGGCCGCTGGGGGTCGACATCAACGAAGAGATCCCGACGTCGTGGGTCGGGGTCCGGCGGTCCTCTGGCGGTCTGCTCCTGGAGGGCATCGGTGGCCCATGGAGGTCGTCCCGCCTCCTGGGCCTCTCCAGCAGCTGCGAAGGGGCCCTGGGACACACAAATAACTACACAAGTAACAGGATTCCCCATGTTTCCCTGTATTTTCTGGGCTTGTGTCTTCCCCTCTACTTCCCATATTTTCCCATATTTTCCTGGGAGTCGACGATTAATTGTGTCTGTGTGTTTTTTCCCCTCCAGCAGCTGCGCCTCGTCGACAGCGTTCTGTGGGTGCCAAGGGTCCTCCCGCCAAGGGCCGCCGGAGGCCCACGCAGCACGGCCCGAGAGCCCCGACCTCGGAGGTTGTGCCCGGTTGCGGGTAAGAGTGAGGGGACAGGCGCGGGGTGAGTCGCGGGGGGGTCGCGGGTGAGGACGACGACGACGACGACGATGGCGACGACGACGACGACGACGACGACGACGACGACGACGACGACGACGACGACAACAACAACAACAACGACGAACAACGCAGCAGCAACAACAGCAACAACGACAGCAGCAGCAACAGCAACAATTACAACAACAGTCATTTTCAGGCTGTTCGCTCTTATCTGCTCGCGTGCCATTTCACACGTCGATCCCAAACCCTCGATACCCGCCCTCCTTCTCTTCGATCGTGCCACCCTTTGGGCATATGTTCCATACAAACATGCCGCGTGTAATTAGTGCAGCCCCTGAAACAAAGGAAGAGAGGACGGATGGAAGGCGGGGGAGAAGGATGGACCACGGGATTAGAGAGAGGGGGGCTGGGAGCAGAATCACGTGGCAGAACCAGTCGGGGCCATCGGGCGGGTTAGACCCTGACGGGCGGGTCGGGAAGGCGGACCCAAGGGGCCAGGTCGAGAAGGCGTGTTGCTGAACCGTGAATACTGCATGGGGGCCTCCGTGGGCGCGCTTGGGGCCTCTGCGGCTTGGCGTCTCTGTGGGCTGGTGCCTCTGTGGCGCGCTTGGGGCCTTTGTGGGCTGTGTCGGGGGGCCTCAGTGGGCAGCGCGCTGGGGCCTCTGTGGGCGCGCTTGGGGCCTCTGTGGGCTGGGGCCTCTGTGGGCTGCGTCGGGGGCCTCAGTGGGCAGCGCGCTGGGGCCTCTGTGGGCGCGCTTGGGGCCTCTGCGGGCTTCGGCGGGGGCCTCCGTGGGCAGCGTGCTGGAGCCTCTTTGGGCAGTTGGGGCCTCTGTGGGCTCACTCGGGCCTCTGTGGGCTGTGTTGGGGTCAACAGTGGGCAGCGCGCCAGGGCCTCTGTGGGCGCGCTTGGCGCCTCTGTGGGCTGGGTCTTAGTGGGCGCGCTTGGGGCCTGTGCGGGCTGTGTCCGAGGCCTCGGTGGGCAGCGTGCTGAAGCCTCTGTGGGCGCGCGGGGGTTTTGTGGGCTGCGTCCGAGGGCCTCAGTGGGCAGCGTGCTGTTGCCCCTGTGGGCGCGTTTGGAGCTTCTGTGGGCTGTGTCCGAAGGCCTCAGTGAGCAGCGTGCTGGGGCCTCTGTGGTTCGGGGGCCTCCTCTGGCCAGGGCGTCTAGGAGTAACTTTCGAGGGCGTGTCGAGCGGCAGCCCCTGTCGTCGCGGGTGGGCCTCCGGCGCCGCTACTGCATTTCAGTCTTTGGTCTCGAAGTACAGCTTGAGGAAGTATCGAACGGGAGCCCTTGTCGTCGTGGCTGGGCCTCCACCAGCTTGATTGCATTACGAGAAAGTCTCGAACGAGAACTCCGTTCCTGAGTTCGAGAGCCTCTCTGGCCAGGGCTCTCGGACTACATCTTGAGAAGTATCGAGCGGGGACCCTTGTCGCCGTGTCTGAGCCTCCACCAACTAGCCTGAATTACGAGAAATTATCGAGCGAGAGCGCCGTTCGTGAGTTCGGGGGCCTCCACGGCCAGGGCTCTCGGAGCAAATCGTGAGGAAGTATCCAGCGGGAGCCTTTGTCGTCGAGGCTGGGCTTCCGCCACCTTGATTGAATTGCGAGGAAACCTCAAGCGAGAGCGCCGTTCCTGAGTGCGGGGTCCTTTCTGGCCAAGGTGTCCCGGGGCATATTGTAAGGAAGTATTGAGCGGGAGTCGTTGTCGTCGTAGCCAGGCCTGCAACAACATATATTTACAATCAAACCAGCGCTCGAGCGGGAGCCTCGTTTTCAGAGAAAATGTAGCCAGCGTCGAGGCGCGGAACCGTTTCCGGAGATCTGCAGTAAATATGTTGTAGAAATGAGTGTTCAACCACAACAACAATAACAACAACAACAACAACAACAACAACAACAACAATAACAACAGCAACAACAACAACATCAAACAACAAACAACAAACAACAACATCAACAACAACAGCAGTAACAACAACAACAACAACAAACAACGCCAAACAACAAACAACAAACAACAAACAACAACAACCAACAACAACAACGACGACGACGACAGCAATAACAACAAACACAATAACAACAACAGCAACAACATCAACAAACAACAGACAACAAACAACAAACAACAAACACAACCGCAACAACAACCACAAGAGCAACATCAAAAACAAGATCAGTAACAACAGCAACAGCAACAGCAACAGCAACAGCAACAACCACAACAGTAGCAACAACAACAACCACAACAACACCAACACAACACCAATCATTTTGAGTAGGTTCGCTCTTATCTGCTCGAGTGTCATTCAGCGTGCATCTCCCGAACCCTCGATACCCGCCCTCTTCGTCTTCGATCATACCACTCTTGGTCGGCATATATATATGTACATATATATAGATATGTGTTCGTGAGCTCTGCGCGAGTAGCCAGAAAGTTTCCAGCGAGAGAGCGATTCCTAAGTAAATTTGAGGAAGTCCCAAGCGAACGCGCGATTCCTGAATGGCAAGAGCGCGGCGCCTGGAAAAAATGCGAGGAAGTCTCAGGCGGGAGCCCGATTCTTGAGAAAATTGCAAGGAAGTCTCAAGCGGGAGCGAGGGACTGGAGTAAAAAAAGAAAAAGTATCAAGCGGGAGCCGTTGTTGTTGTAAACCGGGGGCCAGGGGCACAGTTTGAGGAGGAAGATTTTCCTTGATGATAAACAAGGTGCGAGCGCCGGGAGGGGCATTGCACCGGAGAGGGGGGGGGGATCAACAATAATGATTCTTCAGTCGTAAGAGTTCAACAAGAGTCCGCACCGCGGAACCCCACTTCAGCCACGCGCCCAGGGACGGTGAACGACCGTTCGACCCCTTCACTCTGATGCTAGCCGGCGTGGCGTGGGCCCATGATCGTAAGGTCTGACACTGCGGATGTGAACGTCGTGCGGTGCAAGCCATCTGTCACCGCGCCGTTTGTTCCGACGCGCGGCCGTACGTTTTGGGAAGGACGCCTCGGCCAACATGGCAAACGCCGCCCCGGGCGCGGTGGGTCCTGGTGACTTTGCCGTGGGTCTGCGGTGGGCTCGCCGCGGTGCCAGCGTCGTCTGCTCGGGCGCGGGGCGCAGGGCTTGCCGTAGGTGTGCCGCGGTGCCAGCGTCCTCCACTTGGGCGCGTTCCAAAGCTTTGGACGCCCGAAAAGGGTACGGAAGAAATGGGTGCAATGCCCAACAACAGAAGCTGTCCCAAACCAACAGCGGCCGCTGTTGGGCAGGCGGCCTCCTGTCTCAAATGGACACAGGCCGCGGCGGTGCGGACAGCGAGTCCTGTTCAAAAGGGACAGGAACTGTTGTTGAGCATCGTGCCCATTCGTTCCGTGCCCATCTCGCTCGTGCAGAAGGGCAAACGGCGCGGCGACGTATGGCGTATGCTTTGTCGTGCAAGCGCTGCTGTGTGAGCTCGGGCGCGGGGCGCAGGGCTTGCCGTGGGTGTGCCGCGGTGCCGGCGTCCTCCACGTGGGCGCGCTCCAGAGCAAGCTGCGCGGCGACGTGTGGCGTATGCGTTGTCGTGACGACGACGACGACGACGACGACGACGACGACGACGACGCCGACGACGACGACGCCGAGGACGACGACGACGCCGACGACGCCGACGACGACGACGACGACGACGACGACGACGGCGACGCCGACGACGGCGGCGGCAGCCGTGCGGCGCTTCCCCTCGACGTCGGGCGGCGGGGCCCGTCTCCCCGCGGGCCTCGGCGGGCTGGCCCCCGGCGGCGCCCGGCGGGGCCTCCGCGGCCCGAGCGGCGGTGTTCGGCGGCGGCGAAGTTGCAGGCCGCCGCGACGTCGATCGGCGCCGCCGACATTCCTCCTCCTCCTCCTCCTCCTCCTCCTCCTCCTCCTCCTCCTCCTCCTCCTCCTCCTCCCTCCTCCCTCCCCTCCCTCCCTCCCCTCCCTCCCTCCTCCCTCCTCCCTCCTATCTCCTCCTCCTCCGCCTCCTCCCCTCCTCCTCCTCCTCCTCCTCCTCCTCCTCCTCCCTCCCTCCCTCCTCCCCTACCTCCCTCCCTCCCTCCCTCCCTCCTCCCTCCTCCTCCCTCCTCCTCCTCTCCCTCCTCCTCCTCCGCCTCCTCCTCCTCCTCCGGCGGCGAAGTTGAAGGCCGCCGCGGCGTCGATCGGCGCCGCCGACATTTCAAGCAGTGGCGGAGCGAGGGGAACGAAAAGTGACATAAACATAAAAAACTCGGAGGTCCGCGCGGATTTCTCGGATCGGCGCTGGGGCCCCACGGCGGCGCCTCCGGCACCGCCCCTGGCGCGCTCCGCGCGCCAGGGAGGGGGGTCCAGCGCCGATCCGAGAAATCCGCGCGGACCTCCAAGTTTTTATGTTTATGTCATTGTTCGTTCCCCTAGAAGCGTCCTGGCTCGCCTATAGCCCTACCAAACAGTGTTCTAAGAACCTCTTGTGGTTCCCACGAAGTGTTGTCTGATCATTCCTGGCGGAGCCTGTCTTGTTTCTGTCACATCGGGTTCATGTTCTAAGAACATCGTCTTTGCTATCAGGACATTTTTGGGTTCTAAGCACACTCCGTGGTAGCACTATTAGGAATGCCAGGACGGTCGGCCCCTGCTGAAGACATGAGGTCTTTGGTTGCGCGGTGCCGTCTCTGGACGTCGATAGACTTCGAGCGACGTCGCCGACATCGCCGATCGACGTCGTCGATGCAGCGGTTGGGTCTCTCGCCGCCACGGCCCGGCTCGGCCCGGGGAGCTGGCACGGGCGGGCCTCGGGAGGGCTCCCGGGGCCGACGTCTTCCGCGTTCCGGTCGCCACTGGCAGCGGCCCGCGGCGACCCTGTCACCGGCGCGGCGGTGGCGATCCTGGCGCTCACGCTGGTGACGACGACGACGACGACGACGACGACGACGACGACGACGACGATGACGACGACGACGACGACGACGACGACGACGACGACGACGACGACGACGACGTTGATTTCGCTCCGCGTGCGAAGGGTCGGGTCGAGGGGGCGGCCGTCAGAATTTCAGGCAGGAAGGGGGCGAAGGGCATCTTGACGGGACTCGGCGTGTGCTAAGAGGCGCCCTACAACGGAGGGAAGCTGTGCGACACCAATGCCACCAGCGGGGCCACCTCCAGCGACGAGGTCCACGATGCCTCCCCGAGCTGGAGGCTGGGGATGTCTCGAGCGAGAGGGGGGGACCACACCACCAGGGAGACCCCCCTTGCTGCTCGCACCTCCTCGCCTTGGTGGTGTTGGTGTCGCCTTTCCTTGCTCCTACTTACAAGGCAGAAAAGAGATGCTGTCTTAGAAGACCATTCCCCTCGCCCCGCCCCCTTTGGGACGCCGCCAACTGTTGACGACGACGGCGGCGACAGCGATAGCTAGGACGGGCTGATATTGGTCAGTGAGCTTCCGAGGGCCATTCAGGGTCCTGTGAAAGTTTTTCGGTGTTTGTAGATTGAGGGCAAGGGGGGCCAACGGGGCTCTGAAGGGGTAGTCACAGGTCTTCCATGCCTGGTAGAATATCATTGCAGCCCCTACCCTCACTGGTTTCACGGGCTGCGGGGGCCCGCATGTCTGCAGCCTCTTGGCTCGAGCTGGCACAGGGCGCAGGAGGAGGAGCAGCAGGAGCAGGAGCAGGAGGAGCGAGGAGGAGCACAGAGGACCCTGAGATCAGACGACACGCGAAACAACGTACGACATCGTGCAGAATCCCCACCAGAGCGCCGGACTGATCTTTGTGCTGCCTTTTTCGAGCCGGGTCGATCTGGGGTGGCCGAGAGGCCTGACATCGGGCGAAAGTCGCCCTGCTCTAAAGAACTGCGGCTCGAGTGCCCGGAGGTCCGGTGTCTTGATGCTTGCACTACGGGGCCCCCAGAAGTCTCGACCCACTCCCACGGGGCCCCCCGAAGTCTCGACCCACTCCCAGGGACCGGCTCGTCTCGTCCTCGGTCGCTTCTTCGCGGCTCCCAGGCCCAGCGACGGCCTCCAGAGGCCGAAAGCGGCGAAGCAGTTCTTCGATGTTTTGAACACGTTGGGCTTCTGAGCATCTTAGGGGAGGAGCCCAGGGGGAGGAGGAGGAGGAGGAGGAGGAGGACCAGTGTAAACTCAAGGGCCACCAGCGATGTTGGAATAAACCTTGCCCCCAAGCTCCCTCTTCACAGCCCCCTACAACGGTTCATTTCCACACAGGGACCTGCCTCGTTGGAAGACAACCGTTCGAAGACCATGATGCCAAAACATGATTCTCGGCATTCCAACGCCACTGGTAAACCTGACTGTTGCGTCTTGACGATCCTGAATCGTGGCAGAACGCCGTTCGTGGGACTTCAGCACCGCGAATCATCGTAACTGCTGCGCCCTCATAATCGCGAGCCCTTCCAAAAACAAACCCTGGCGAAGGGCCCAACCATATGCAATTGTGAAGACCGCGATTATGAATCCCATCTTTGCCCGCTCTCCCTATGGGGCCACTAACAGTGTGGGTGCCGAACCGTGTGAGGGGTGTGCCAAAATGGGGCGGCGGCGCCATGCGAACTGCGCCACTGGGATCTTAGGTGGAGCTCCCTATGGGGCCACGAAACGTGTGAGGGGTGTGCCAAAATGGGGCGGCGGCGCCATGCGAACAGCACCACTGGGACCTTAGGTGGAGCTCCTTATGGGGTCACGAAGCGCGTGAGGGGTGTGCAAAAATGGGGCGGCGGCGCCATGCGGGCTGCGCCACTGGGACCTTAGATGGAGTTCCCTATGGGGCCACAACACGTGTGAGGGGTGTGCCAAAATGGGGCGGCGGCGCCTTGCGGGCTGCGCCACAGAGACCCTAGAGGGGGCTCCCTATGGGGCCACAACACGTGTGAGGGGTGTGCCAAAATGGGGCAGCGGCGCCATGCGGGCGGTGGCACTGGGGCCTTCGGTGGAGCTCCCTGTGGGGCTGCGAAACGTGTGAGGGGTGTGCCAAAATGGGGCGGCGGCGCCATGCGGGCTGCGCCACTAGGACCTTAGATGGAGCTCCCTGTGGGGCCACGAAACATGTGAGGGGTGTGCCAAAATGGGGCGGCGGCGCCATGCGGGCGGTGGCACTGGGGCCTTCGGTGGAGCTCCCTGTGGGGCTGCGA